ATATATAACTCCATACAAAAAACACCGGTTATTACTTATGGTTAAATTAAGATGTTGCAACTCAGCGTAAACTAGATACTACAACTACAAAGAACAGCGATTCATATTAAATAAGTGACTTAATACTAAAATGAACATTGGGATTTAGTCACATTTAAATTTGAAATCTACCAGCTATTATAAGAAGCACGTCCGATCATTATTTTCATCTTGTAACTGTACCGCAAACCGCCATTATTGGAACCTTTGGAAATAGGTAACATTTCATGAATTATCAGCTTCCTGTTATTGGAAGACCGGATATTCTAAAAGCATCCTTATTACAGCGCCTTTTGTCAGTTTTCACACTCTTGAGTCTATGGCCCTCCACTCTCTCGGCTCTCCTTGCTTTGACACTCTATCGGTGTTCTGGTTTTCATTAAAGAAAATCGAAGCAAATTGCATTTATTTTATGCGATAAATAGCGTGATAACTAGCTTTTTCTGGCAGCTTCACCTGCTTAAATTTAATAAATTAAGTAATATACCTAAATATTTTCCGTGCCTATTTATTGTAACGTTGTAACTATTTACCTAAATACCCCTAGTTCTGAAAATATCACATTACCGTTTTCGTAACACCACAGATAGGGAGAGCCCATCCATTACTTATGTAGACAAATAATAAATATGCAACGCTCGCTGCTATCGGCAATACATAATTAATTAAGCTCCGCACCGAGCCAGCAAGGGATCACTAACAAAATGTGTGAACGTTTAGACTCAACCAACCTTTGAGCCAACGTAACCCACATTTAATACATCGCATTAGTCTCTCCCCTGTTCACGTAAGGTCGAATTTAATAACCACAAAACGATATCACACTCGCCTATTCCTAGACCAACGTTGGAGCAAATGTAGAGTAAGTTAAACGGTCGAATATGATCTTTAAGTGAAAGGGGCAGAATGGAGAATTGGTTGACGTGTACATAGTGTTGTAACTAAATTGCTATTGGGGTTAAGGGGTTAAATGATAGGTAAGAAAGCGTTCCTATGCTCATACAAAGTGTATGCAGATACGTACCAGGACGTTTACATCACGTAATTTGGGAAATAATGCTTCGTAGAATAGAAAAACATTTGATATTTTATTACTACATATTTAAGAGTCTAGTGTAGGTGATCCAAAGAAATGTGTTCACATCTTACAGATATTAAGATATTGCATTATTCTGCATTTTAAAAAAGTTGCAAATTAAAGGAGCCTTCATTAACAAAGGTAGGTATACTCTTATTGTTAACTAGCGGCCGCCCGCGACTTCGTACGCGTGGATCCCGTTTTACCCCCTTCATCTATCTTACGCGGTTTAGATTTTTTCATACAAATGTTTTATCCCGCTAACTCCCGTTCCCGTGGGAATTTTGCAACATCCTATTGTAACTAAGCTTTGAGTTTACTAAGGTACCTGCATGCCAAATTTCAAGCGTCTAACTTAAGCAGTTTAGATTTTTCATACAAAAGGATTTTCCCGCTAATTCCCGTGCCCGTGGGAATTCCTAAGTATCCTATAACCTGCCCAGGAGTACGAAGAATAATTGTACCAAGTTTCGTTAAAATCCGTCAAGTAGTTTTTGTTTCTATAAGGAACATACAGACAGACAGACAGACAGACAGACAGACAGACAGACAGACAGACAGACAGACAAAAATTTTACTGATTGCATTTTTGGCATCAGTATCGATCACTAATCACCCCCTGATAGTTATTTTGAAAATATATTTCATGTACAGAATTGACCTCTCTACAGATTTATTATAAGTATAGATGTTGCTTCTTATCAACAAGGTCTAAAAAGTTGCTAGCTTGTTCTTGTTTTTAATTTAATAACAAGTAAGTTTAAATTAAGTAAGAAAAATCTGTTAAAATTTTTAGAGATAACGCCCCACATTGTATGATCGCGTCGCGAATGTACTAACGGGTTTTAGCCTATACAGCTCTAACTTCTGGCAAAAATCACTAATTAGAGTCATTAATCTCAGTAGGCCGACGTCACCGCACGCCCGTCAATCTCGCAGTCGCGAACTTGGCTAAACTTACGAGATAAATTAAAACATAATGATTTTTAAGTTTGTACTCCAGGCAGGTTGGGTAATTGCTTTCCTTTGCCAGTATAATAGAATCTTCCTGATTTATCCAACCATAAAACTATCAGTAGGGGAGACCGAGGAGAATTGTGACATTGAAGATTTTTTGGAATTTAGCGAGCTCGTAACAATGCACGTTTTTAGTTCAAGTAGTATTTGTTAGCTCGAGAGCTAACAAATACGCGCTGTTGCGAGCACGCTGATAATAATAATTAATAGGGTTCCAAAAATCAACTATCACAACTCTCCTCGGTTTCCCCTATTAAATGTTAAAACTTGTAAAAAGATGTTAACTCCCCCGTAGTGTCGTATAAAAGAGACTTTCTCAACTCGGATTTTTTGGATCAATTCTCAAATGGGACAACACCAGTTTGTTTAGGACATACAGGCTGAAACTAACCTGATAAAGAAATAAGATTTCGTTATTCCAAGGACAGGTTAAGCCGGCCTAATTGAGCCAATTCAGACGCCTACGGTTCGTTGACACTGAGGTTGTGACCTCAGATACCTATTACATCCCACACTACAGAAGAATGAAGATTTGTATGCCTACTTAATTAGAAATGAATGTTCATTTCTTATTAAAAAAATCAAATAGGTGAATGTACTTTCATTCGTTCATTCGTTTCAGCCAAAAATGACGTCCATAGCTGGACAAAGTACCGCCAAGGATTTCCTTAACGACCGGTCCTGCGCTGCCTGCATCCAGGTACTTCCCGCAACCTTCAACAGATCGTCGGTCTACCTAGTGGGGGGCTTTCACTTTCATTTACCTTTTTTTATGGCGTCCAATGTGACGCTCTTTTAAAAAAGTGGCCTCCGCAGAATAACAGCGTCCTGTTCTGGGGTCTACCTCAGAGCAGGACACAATGCTGAGCGGATGCCATTTTGGTCCACAAATGTGCAAGTATTGGAAACTGTATAGGTACTGTAATAATTTAATATGTTGGGCCAAATAAAATATTTTCTTTCTTTCTTTCTTTTTATTTCCACGCAATAATTTTTAGACTATTCTAGACACATGCGCAATGACTGTTCTACCAACCGCAGCCCAAGCAAGCGTAGCCAACAAACCCGACTTCTGATTCTAAACGTATTTTTACACAATTCGGGCAAATTACTGAAACTTCCAAAGCCGCAGGTCCGAATGTAAATAAATGTATTTCGTTGGAATGGGCACAAACAATGGGCAAATTTACTTAGGGCCAGTACGGGTCATTAAGTTGGGTTTTTAAACTCTGGCGTAAAAAACTCGCATAATAAGTGTTTTTGAGTTATCAGGCTTGTGCTAATCGGTAAATCCTTGTTTCATAATAAGCCGGCTTTTAGGTGGCCTTGTGATAATTAAAATTAATGATCCTTTCAAATTATGGACATAATACAAGGATTTTGTTGAAGACATTTAATAAAAATCATAAACAATGGACTGACCAAATACGCAGTATAGAATTAATGTCAACAGTCGAAAGAAGCTTGCTCAGAATCCACCAAGTCTTTACTAATATCCCTTCGTACCTATACGAGTATACGTACATACATTTAGATAGGTACCTACTACAACTCGTGAGCCAAATATAACACCTTACAATCTTAACATATCCTTTTATATCTGTTGCTGGCAGTTTGGCCAGCAATCCTTTTTTATATTGTTTATGGTTTTTTTTACTTTTTTTTAATATTTTTTTTTGAGTTTTTGAAGTTGCTTTTTGTACACTCTCGTTCTAATGTCTTGAGCAAGATACTGCTTTTTGCCCTTTTTGGAGTTTTTCCATAAATTGCTTCTTCGATCGTTTTTAACATTGGTCCTCCGATAGGAGAGGTGAAGGTACCATGCTCACTAGAAGCAAGGTAAAGAACCAATCAGGTAACCCTACAGAGCCCCAAGCCTCACAGGTATGTGTAGATCCTAGTGTCACGGTGCCTCAAGCAGGTGGAGGTTCGCTTGGAGCCACTCCAAGCGTCGATATCTCCACCTCAAATGCTGGAGGTACTCACTCTAATAGGTCTAAATCTACATCCAGCACAGTTAAGGCTCGCTTACAGGCCGAAGCTCTTCACGCTAAGGCTATGCTTGAAATTGAGGAGCAGTTAGCTAAGGCAAAGAGGGTAGCTCAAGACAAACTTCTGGCAGCTCAACTCGCTGCCATCGAGTCAAGTACACGCAATAATTCCGTCAACTCTTGGGTTCACAGTTTGCCTGACCATTTCTCGGATATCGTATCAGCCGCTGCACAGCCGCAGAATCCCGCCGCTTCAAGTGCAGAGGACAGTCCAGGTCCTTTTGATGCTGTCAACACGGTACCCAAAGGTTCAGAAGGCTTACTACCTAATCATAGTCAGTTGACGTCAAAACATGTAGAACCACATCTAGTTTCTCCTTCTTGTCATCATCAATCTAATGACATTAGAGAGCTAGCTCGTGCCATCACTTCCTTAACCAACAAACCTAGACCATCTCAACTACCTATTTTTAGTGGAAAACCAGCTGACTGGATAGCTTTCAAACAGTCATACTATCATACCAGTCAGTCATGCTCTCTCACCGAAAATTTAGCACGGATTCGATCTTCCTTGCGCGGAGACGCAGCTCTATCTGTGTCCGCCCTCTTACTGACTTCTAGAGACCCTCTTCACGTGTCTTACTACCCGAGCCATTCACCTGGAGATTGTACACAGCCTCTCAGCGGACGCTGCAGTGATGTGCCTGCGACGATTTGTCGCTCGAAGAGGCACCCCGTGCAAGATATTGTCAGATAATGGGACTGCCTTCGTTGGGGCTAATAATCTACTTCTTGCAAGCTACCAGCAGTGTTTCGGAGACGAATGTGCTAACCAACATATTTCCTGGCAGTTCATACCCCCTTCAGCTCCTAATATGGGGGGAGCGTGGGAACGGATGGTTCGAACAGTGAAGACGGCGCTGAAAGCCATGCTGGCAGAGCAAGTGCCCAAAGACGAGCTTCTATGCACCGCTCTTCATGAAGCAGAAGCACTGGTGAACAGCAGACCGCTTACCCACGCGTCCAGCGAACCTCACGCTCCCGAATCATTAACGCCGTTTCATTTTCTCATCGGTTCATCGTCACCGTACCATCCCATAAAGACTGATGCCGGGGACCTGCTCAGTGGGAGTGATTGGAGGAAGTCTCAACGCCTTGCTGAACTATTTTGGCAGCGTTGGGTCAAAGAGTACCTTCCTCTAATCGCTCCTAGGAGGTCGCCCAAAGGTTCTTCGTCGCAGAATTTCAGAATTGGTGACCTCATCCTTATCGCGGACGGTAATCTCCCGCGGGGAACATGGCCTCGAGGCAGAATATCTGCGGTCCACCCCGGCAAGGACGGAATAATAATCCGCGTCACAGAGGTCACCACTCTCGGCGGAATTCTGCGGCGACCAGTCACCAAGCTGGTCAAATTACCATCAAGTCCCCCCCTGACTAAATCGGCTCTGCCAGGGGGGTGGAGGATGTTGCTGGCAGTTTGGTCAGCAATCCTTTTTTATATTGTTTATGGTTTTTTTACTTTTTTTAAATATTGTTTTTTTGGATTTTTGAAGTTGGTTTTTGTACACTCTCGTGTTAATGTTTTGAGCTGCAAAGCTGCAATATACCTACTGTTCTGGCCCTTTTTTGGAGTTTCCTTGATTCTAGTGGCATACCACAATCACCACCGGCAGGCCTCTCTATAATACAGTCCACTCCACCACCGTTTTTAACAAGCACATATATTGATTACTTTGTGTGTGTGAATTTCTGATTTACCAGTAATTTAATTATAATATTAGCAATAAAAGTTACCTTTCATTGCTTTTTAATAAGTTAAATGAAATTTCAACATAAAAAACCGTTGAATATGCGCACTTAACAATTAAAAGACGAATAAGTTGTCATGGTTGATTAACAGTTGGCCTTGATTAAGAATTAATTATGGGTTAATGTTTGCCAATATGTAGGGTTCCGTAGATTTAATTATTAATTTAAGAAAGTATATTTTACTAGCGGCGGCCCGCGACTTCGTACGCGTGGATCCCGTACCCTGAGTTGAATTTTGCAATATCCCATCTTAGTGAGCACCTACGTTCTAAAAGGAACCCCCATGCAAAATTTGAGACTCCTAGCACTTAGTTTCTGAGATTTCGTGACTTTTCGCTTTCATAAATGTAGATTAATCCACATCGAGGAAGCTCTTACGGGACTATTCCCACCTCTCGTTCCCACCGCTGCAACTATCCTGTGTAGCCAGGATCTACAACTTGACCGCCAATGAAAACCCAACCAGTGAAGGTCAAGTTTGTCCCGGGGGAAAGTAAAACTGGAAGCTCTTAGCCTGCATCTTACCTGATGGAAGGTGGAAGCGAGCTTCACCCGGAATCCTCAACCACGGAGGAACTGGCTATCTTACCAACTGCCGGAACACAAGCCCTATCAATAAAACCATGCAGAAAAATCTGCCCTCACTGGGAATCGAACCTAGGACTCCTGGGTCTGAAGTATAGTCTTACCACTAGACCACAGCTATGGTTATAAATCATCTTGTATAGTTCTTGCAACTCACAAAGGCGAGTCAGCTTTACTTGTGTGTGTACGTGTCACATGCACATAGCGATAGTGTAATGTCTATCAACACTTTTGACAAACGAACAGTAGCGAGCCACCACACATGTAAGGCTCACTGACCGCCTTCGTGAATTGCAACAACTATACGCATTATGAAAGCTCATTTTTAAGCTTTTACTTAATAAATACAGCTTTTTTGATCAGGCGAAGCTGCGGACAAAAGCTAGTATTACCATATTCGTCTTCATTATGCCAATATTAAAATTACATACGTCGCGAAGTATCTCGGATACATTATAATTAAAATTTGCGTCCGTCATTTGCATCGGCGCTATGTGACGGATTATCTGACGTAAACAAATGAGCTTTCAGTTTTAATTATGTAAAAAGGCGATACAAATGTTTCTGTGGTTCGGTTCCCAGTGGGGGCAGATTTTGCTGTTAAGTTTCGTTTCCTTGTTCTAAATCATTGGTTCTCAAACTTATTTGAGATGCGCCCCCTTTCGACCATACAAAAAATTCTCCCCCCCCTTCCTCTAGTCCAGATTATTTATTGGTCGTTCTATTCAAATCTGTGCGTTCGATTTTCTGCTTCACTTAAACAAACATCGTTTGTGAATGTCTCTTCTCAAACTAAATTATATAAATAACTTGAAAAGATCGAACTGCCTAAGGCGGGAATTAAACCCACAACCTTCCGCTTGCTGGGCGACTGCTCTTCCAACTGAGCTACTTAGACACTGGATGAACCAATTGAAAGGACATCATCCATTTTGGTCCAAAATCAAAAGTGCCGGCCAAAAAATAAAAGTGCTGTATTCTGATAGAATACGTCCGCCTTAGCATTTATTACTATGGCACCAAAGCTGTAGCACCACTGTGCATCGTGGTATTTGAGTTCTAAAAATATATGAAACGACTGACTTTGATCTCAAACACTACGACGCACAGTGGTGCTACAGCTTTGGTGTCATAGTAACAAATGCTAAGGCGGACGTATTCTGTCAGAATACAGCACTTTTTTTTTTACTGGCCGACATTTTTGATTTTGAACAAAAAATGTATGAATCGTCGATGAATTTTAGATCTCAAATACTCGACGCACAGTGGTGCTACAGCTTTGGTGCCATAGTAACAAATGCTAAGGCGGACGTATTCTGTCAGAATACAGCACTTTTTTTTTATTGGCCGACACTTTTGATTTTGAACAAAAAATGTATGAATAGTCGATGACTTTTAGATCTCAAATACTCGACGCACAGTGGAGCTACGGCTTTGGTGCCATAGTAACAAATGCTAAGGTAGACGTATTCTGTCAGAATACAGCACTTTTTTTTGATGGCCGGCACTTTTGATTTTGGACCAAAAATATATGAAACGTGGATGATGTCCTTTTCAAGTGTAATACTTCGGGGCTTCGTGGGAATTGTGGGTTCGTTTCCCGCCTCAGGCAGTTTTTCAAGTTATCTATATCTGTAAAAGCAAAAGGTCACTGACTGACTCATCACGAAATCTCGGAAACTATAAGTGTTAGGTGCCTCAAATTTTGCATGGGGGTTTCTTTTAGAACGTAGGTGCTCACCAAGACAGGATTTTGCAAAATTCGACTCTTAAAGGGGGCGAAACGGGATCCATGCGTACGAAGTCGCGGGCGCCCGCTAGTTTATAACATAGCTCTGTGACTCAAATAAAGTGTCCTTGACCCTTTATAAACTTCCAATGCCAATAAAAACTATATTTTTACCAACAGACATCGGTGGTATCGGTTTAACCCTTTTTTACCGTTCGTGCCCTGCAGTCAACATCAATAATATGGAACTATTCCGGCGGATTTACACCTCACGACACGATCACGATCGGGGGACGACGTGACGTTTCAGTATTTTTAAACAGTTGTGTAAAAAAACTGTAACTATGTGAAATTAAGCTACGGTCTATTCTTTACAAAAGTAATTAATTCATTAATCGATGAGGTGAAAACTAAAGTTACATTAACATGTTCATAAACTGTCATGCTTCGTGAAACAAGCGTGCGATCATTTCGAACAACTCGAAATGAGCATGCTTATTATTTCATTTTAGCAATGTTTCGACACACATGCTAATAACTACTTATTGAGCATTTTAATGTATCAAAATAAAAATAAAAAATATCTTTGTATCTTTTACCTTTTGCTCAATAGTGACATGCTTTCGAGCTAGTAATAAACATGACGTAGGTATATACCTTTACTAGCGGCCGTCCGCGACTTCGTACGCGTGGACCTCATTTTACCCCCGTTAGATATCATGTTGATAGATGGCGTTTTCACGCATGAATATTTACGAACGTTAAAAACAGTAGTTTATCCAGCGCTGTAGATTTTAACCAATGACGATAGATGGCGCTTTTTAGACAGGTCTTATTTATTTATTGAAATTTATTTGTCACATATTGTCATAAATTATAGCCTATATGTTAATCTGGGTTATTATAAACAATAATACTGTAAAGTTTCAACAAAATCCGTTCTGTTTTTGCGTGAAAGAGTAACAAACATCCAGACATCATGACATCCAGACATCCAAACTTTCGCCTTTATAATATTAAGTAGGATGTAAAATATTGAATGATTTGATTTGATTTTAAACTCATGTAGGTAATAAAACGTTTTTGATGAGCGGAATAAATTTCACATCACTTAGTTGAGTATCCTTTTTAAGCCCTGCTAGTAGTTTAAGATCACATCGAGACTGTTTGAATATTCATCATCATCATCATTATTTCAGCCACAGGACACTCTGCTGAACATAGGCCTCCCCAACCTGCGTCCGAAGTCTATTTAAAGACTTCCAGGTAAGCCAGGGGAGCTCATGTCCAGGTGGAGGACTCTCAGACATAGGGACAAAAGGGCAGGGGAGATCAGCTCTCTCGCGCCATAACCTGCATCTCTCTTTTGACCGATCGTCGTGAAGGAGAGGGGACACACTTTTTACGAAATTGCTTCATTTTTTACGAATTGGACGCAGGTTGGCCGTAGTAAGGACAATCTGGCCAGGTGGGGATTCTTGGATGGCTTGAGCATGGAGTGCAGGTGCGGTTTTGTTCCCCAGTCGATGAAGCACCTGATGTCATGCCCTGAGTGCCCAAGCAACTGCACTTAGGAGGATTTGATGAGTGCTACTGACAACGCCACTCTTGTGGCGGAGTTTTGGGCTGACACTGTGTAGGTTTGTTGTCGACACGAAAAGAAGAAGATAGGCCTCCCCCAATGATTTCCACGATGGCCGGTTGGTGGCGGCCTGCATCCAGCGCCTTCCCGCTACCTTTATGAGGTAAAACTTGAATATAGTCGTCCAAAAATGATAATTAAAATAGAGCTCTAAAAATCGCGCCGTGTAAATACCACAATCTTTTAATGTCAAAACATGTAAAAGATTCCCGTGACTTATGCGGTGGCACGGCGGGTTGCTTTGCCGCTTTTTTTATCTTTTTACCTTTTGCGTATCTTTTTATCTTTAGTTCAGAATTCAAGGGTATCCCCGTACGATGTTAAAATGTCTACCTGACATGGTTCTTATGGTAATATTAATCAATCCATTATTAATTGTAGGAGGTGACTTTGGTGGACGTTCCTAAAAGATTATGTCATAGATTTGGAATCTTTTGTGAAAGATAAATTTGAAAAATGATAATGTCTTATTTGTTAAACTTTAATAGTGTTTTAACACTGTTTTAGATTATGTTCTTACTAATATTAGAAATGCGAAAGTTTGTATATCCATACAAAACATGTATGAATGTTTATTACTCTTCCACGCAAAAACTAGTGAACGGATTTGGATGAAACTTTACAGTATTATTGTTATACACCAGAATAATTAAATGTATAGTCTCGCTAATCTCAGGAAGAACTGGTCCAATTTAAAAATATTGTTTGTGTTGGATAGGCATTTATCGAGGAAGGCTTTAGGCTATGTAACATCACCCTACAGCCAATATAGTCCAGTCAATAAAGCATTATAGATGGAAATCCATGGAACACAATTTCTGACTTCGGGACTTTATTTAGACTAGTTAGGAGGTGAACATAGCATAAAATTTTATAAAAAAATAAAACCGACTCCAAAAATCCTACACTAAAACGTAGAAAAATAATTACTAATTACCTACTTATTTATTAGGACGAATTATTAATATTTATGTAGGTATACCATGATTGATACTTCTGGAGTCGGTGCCAAGATTATGAAACATGTAAAGTTTGCATGCACCGACTCCAAAAGTATCAATCATGGTATACCTACATAAATATTAATAATTCGTCCTAATAAATAAGTAGGTAATTAGTAATTATTTTTCTACGTTTTAGTGTAGGATTTTTGGAGTCGGTTTTATNATTCATGCCCTAGACGATCAAAATTCTCACACGCCAACGCCTATTTCGTTTACATTGGCGGCGGACCCTTCGCGATTTAGCAGTTGGTTGCGGTTGGTGCGTGCAACCGCTCGTGCGCTTCAGTTATCAAAATCCTCCGCAATCGCATAAATTCAAAATTAGGGTCACATAATTTGGCTACACGTTTCTCTTCATCCTCACGCGCTCATAATAGTCATCCAGCGCATTCATTATCATCGTTACCATTGCTCAACAACGAGGATTTATACACGGCAGAGGTTCACATCATTCGTCAATGTCAAGAAGAGTCCTTCTCAGAAGAATTGAGGTCGAATCGCCGACGTCAAGCTGTCAACAGAAGCAGCCGTCTCTTTCGTTTGACTCCCACGCTCGATTCTGAAGGCCTACTTCGAATGAACGGAAGAGTCTCTGCCACGCCTGATATGCCCTCGTTCACTAAGAGACCGATAATATTGGATGGTCGTCACCACAGCGCTCGCCTCCTTGTGACACACTAACATAAAAAGGCTCACAAACTGAATGAACTTGTGGTGAACGAGATACGCCAACGTTACTAGATTTTGCGACTGCGAAACACAATCCGCTCCATAACTCTGCGTTGTACTACCTGCACAATTCGACGTGCGAATCTGGTCCCACCACCGTTGATGCTAGTCGGAGTGGGAAGACGACGAGAAAAAAGATACGTTGCGATCTTCACGTGTCTTACTACCCGAGCCATTCACCTGGAGATTGTACACAGCCTCTCAGCGGACGCTGCAGTGATGTGCCTGCGACGATTTGTCGCTCGAAGAGGCACCCCGTGCAAGATATTGTCAGATAACGGGACTGCCTTCGTTGGGGCTAATAATCTACTTCTTGCAAGCTACCAGCAGTGTTTCGGGGACGAATGTGCTAACCAGCATATTTCCTGGCAGTTCATACCCCTTTCAGCTCCTAATATGGGGGGAGCGTGGGAACGGATGGTTCGAACAGTGAAGACGGCGCTGAAAGCCATGCTGGCAGAGCAAGTGCCCAAAGACGAGCTTCTATGCACCGCTCTTCATGAAACAGAAGCACTGGTGAACAGCAGACCGCTTACCCACGCATCCAGCGAACCTCACGCTCCCGAATGAAGGTGTGACACGATGAGAACGCGAAAAATGACCCCGTTTTTTATCGTTTCATGTGATTTTTTCGTATTAATTTTGCTTGTATTACGATAAAATTTATTTTGTATGTAGCTAAATAGATATTTTATCATCTGATTTCAAAGTTATTGTTCTAACTTATACCGTTTATGAAGTATTATTGTGTGACCATCAAATTTGAGTGTAAATGAGAAGTACCCACGTACTTCCCGCCTAGACTTATCATCATTACCATTGCAGCCTATGATGGTCTACTGCTTGAAGTAATCCTCCCTCAAGGAACACGCTTTTTCTAATTCGGCTTAAACTTCTTTAAGAAATTAGTTCCCATTTAGTCTGTTCTATAGTAACAGTTTTTGGAATCGGAGTTTATAGACCGCTCCAGCGTCTGCCGTGTCTCATTCTTTACTGTTAAGTGCCATCGAAATATGGAACAATTTGAATTGGAAGTGTATTCCTGAGATGTGAGATTCACACTGCAATGTCATTTCATACTACGGGTCAAAGATTTCGTAGTTCCTGGCTAATTTTATAATAATATATTTTGACTGAGAAATTTACAATCAAATAATGTAACTACAATGAATAAATGCTACCTAGTCTATCGTAAAAACCAACAACTACCTTGCAGTAAACTGTATTACTACGAAGTTAATGCAATACAAAAGACGAACTTAATGCCAGTGTATAAGTGCCCTGGAAAGGGTCTAAGTACTGAATTAAAGCTTTGACTTTGACTTTGACTTTGCCGTAGCATTCTCTAGTTAGTAATGTATACGTACATTTGTCGCTAAAAATAGACAAAGCACAGCTAATAAAGGGCCAAGGCAAACAAACGCAGCTAGCACACTTTGTTCTGGCTGATTCGATCAAACTTTTATTTTATTTTTGAGCCTGCCCCGGCTGTATGTAAAGCTGATATTCCAGCTTATCGTTAATTCCATCCAGACAATGGAACCGTATGTTGTGTATGATGTTTGCTTTGTTTGGAGCATTTTTGTTTTGGAATACAAATTGATATTATCGCTTCAAATTCACACAGAAGGCTCAATTTGCGTGAACCCTGTAATTAAGTATACGGGTGATGTTGATTATATCGTACTTCTAATCGTTAATGTAATTTTGAAAAAAGAAAGGTATTTTTTTTCATCAATCACACCAAAATGTTAATATTATTTAAACTATAACAACATTTTGTATAAGTTTGTATTCCGAGCATAGGTACAAATGCATATCCGGGCACATTTTTAACTTTTACCATATCAATTTTTTTTTAATGCCTGACAAGTTAGTGAAAGGAATACAAGTGTGACTACGAATCTCTTTTTTACTGTGAGCAATGATAACTCAGATCAAACGACAGGAAATAGATTTTTCCAATTCAATTTCTGAATGATATTTGTATATTTTTAGATAGATTGCTTCAAATGGTATTTTCATGTGAGTGATATATGATATGATTTAAAATGAATTACATTGAAATTGAATCTCAAATGTAAATTGTTGACAATTGTAGTAAAACTTGATTTTCCAATCAAATTATATGAAAAACTAAACTAGCCGTTTGAAGTCACCAACATAGAAAGTGTCTGACGAGAAAATATACGCATGCATCATTACAGCTGTATCTCTATTAAAGTGTAAAAGAGAGCATGGCTTCGAGTGTATATGTATATGTATACATAGTGTGTCTGCGACCTTACTCGAACCATTATAAGTATATTCATATACGATCATCCCCATTTCTCCCAAAACACTCCCTATTAACCCCAATCCTAAAGTTTCCGACTATTTCAATTTGCTCAGAGGGTTGTTACACAAATTTCAATTAAAATATCCGCGCACCTGTACGTGGTTCGGAACCGCAGATTTTTAGGTGCTAATTTGAGAGCGAGACCTGCAAACACATGTCGGACAATAAATTCAATTAACATTTCAGTTTCATGGCCTCGTTATTGTTGTGGTGGATGTGGAAAAATTGGGATTTACCCACATTAAAATTCTTGATTAAATTTTGGCACTTGTGAAAACAATACAATGGAGTAGGTTCCTACATCCGAATGCACGCCACCAATAATGATCTTTTTCACCTGCTATCTGGACAATATATCGCAACTGCATCTTGCTAAAGGGTTGTACAGTGCAGTTGCCAAGACGTGGCCACTCGTACCACTCGACTCTATCTGTCATCGGCAATGTGGTCAGCCCACTGCCACTCAGTCATGACTCATGAATAGCCATGGCAGTTACCTAAATCACTAGCGACTTAGGTAATGTTTATAATTTACGTTAAAGCATATCAGAGAGATAAAGTGTAGTAGTGTATTTCAAGGAACAGAATCTAGACTAACAAGTTCCCGGTACTAGTAATTCTTCGTGTACAGAGATGGTTTTGCCTCAAGTTAGACCAATTAATAATGGAGATTTTAGTATTAAAGCTATCGATATTTTCTAGTGTATTTTGTATTTATCGTTGCCTTTGAGAGTTCGCTCTCATTTTAAGGAAACAAGACTATCATATATATACAGGGTGGCCCAGAAGAAAGTTCACTTTTGAAAATTCAAGGAAACGAAAACTGTACATTTTTATAGAAATTTTACTATTGCAATTTAAAGGAAATTTAATGGAATTTATTTTTAAATTTAACTTTATTTAATTACATCGCCCAGGAGATTTCCTTGACGCTTTCAACATTCGATCAACATACATCAAAATCTTAAAATGCGTTCGTTAGAATTACCTCGAAACCTATTTTCAATTTTTTTCCGAATGCTCAGCTTCAGTTGCTGCATGGTTGTTGGATTATAAAAGTACACTCTATTCTTAATGTAACACCACAAAAAAGAATTTTCTGGAATGAGATCAGGGCTTCCTGGGGGCCAGGAGATGTCACCCCTGCCTGAAATTATTTTTTTGTGGGAACATGTCTCTTACCATCTAAATGTTCTCATTTGAAGTGTGATACGTAGTCCCAACTTGATGAAACCAAGTGCTCCGGTCATAGCCTTGCGAATCTTGCAGCTTTGAAATCAAAAAGCTTTTCAGCCTACCAGTTTAGCGCTCTCAAAAATTAATCATCCTTTCAATGCAAAAAACAAATTAAGCAGGGGTGAAATCTCACTGCCTCTAAGAAGCGCTAATCTCATTCCAGCAGACTTCTTTTTGTGGGGTTACCTTATGAGCAGAGTATACTCTAATAATCCAAAAACTCTGCAGCATTCATCCATCCTGAATCCATTTCGAGGTAACTCTAACGAAAGTTTTCCAAAATTTTGATGTACGAGTATGTTGACCGAATGTTGTAAACGTCAAGGGAATCACATGTACGATAAAATTTATGAAAGAAAGTAAATTTTAAAATAAATTGCACTAAATTTCCTTTAAATTGCAATAGTTAAAGGTCAACAAAAATGAACAGTTTTCGTTTCCTTGAATTTTCAAAAGTGAACTTTCTTCTGGGCCACCCTGTACAAAGAGTATTATTTCATTCATTTGAATTTTATCAATGAACAATATTTTCCTAATGAGTTACTATACTTTGTATTCAATGTTCAACCCTTGATCGACATTTTAATAATAATCAATGAATGGCTCTAGTGACAAAGGAACCAAATCCTAAATCAACTTCACCAGCTTTGTCAGACAATACTTGCACTGGAATAAGCTCGATTTACAAGCGTCTACTCATCTTGAGTCTGCTAATCTCTGAGCCATCAGAAGCGAGTCTTCGAGCAACAGTACCCCAAGCACGAACAATTTTCGTAAACATAGTAATCGTAAAGCTGATATTGACATGACAACAGACAAAATAATTCATAAGAAAAGATATCTTTCGACAAAAGCTAGTGGCTAATCGTCAGTGAAGTTCTAACAGTGCTCAAGTCATTTTTTGACGGTTTTAACATTTTGATCCATTGAATGAAGAAATACCATGCTTTTTTCCGACCTTTCTGCTGAAAAATGCACATTTTTTACTTAAGCACTGTTAGAACTTCCTGGCGTAATGCTCATTTCAGCGTATTTTTTTCGTCATTTACGCAAATTAATGAAAAAAAATCTCTTGTGACAGCAAACAATCCGTTGTCATGCCAATTACAGCTCTAGGTTTACTGTACGATTACGAGAATGTTTCGTGCTTGGGGTACAGAACTGCAGCTCTCGATACAATCGATTTACTAACAAACAACTGTTGATTTATTACATTCCGAGCAGTTCTGAAGTAAGGGTCCGATTAATAGGTTATTAATAAGTGTTTTATTGCAATCGCGACCTTACAGCTGGAGCCGTAATATTGTTTATATTGTGATTAATTACGGAAACTTGCCGGTCCTCTGCGGCCTACGAAATTGGTAGGCAACCTTAGGTGGGACTGGGCAACACATCTTTATTTATACAGTGCATAATATGTGGAATATTTTAAGAAGTTGTTAAATTCATTTTTTTTATCCGCAACGAGGAAGCTCTTGGCCTGTATCTCACCTGATGGTAAGTGACGATCAAAATCTACGTGAATCTTCATTTAACTATCAACTAAATGAGATTAAATAGATTAAAATCAAAAGATCACATGCTAAAGACTTTCTTGGCTCTGATGACTTAAAAAGAAGTTCTCAGTTCGTCTGTATTTTAGTGCCCTTTTTATTCGGTTTTATTTTTTTGTAAAAACTAATAAATAGTTTTATCTTAAAATTCAGTTTAAATTACTAATCAAAGTTCCCAAAAATCTCATGTTTATCTAAGTCAAGACTGTAAAAAAGTGCCAAAACCCAACGAATACTCGCAGTGAGTGGCGGAATGGATTTCATTGTTTCCCTCGCCCCAAGCAGGCCTCTGGGCTCCATCGCCGTAAATATTTAGGTTACTGCAACGTTCGGGCTGCCCTTTGTTGGGCCAATTAACATAAAGCTAAAGAAGTCCCGCATTCTCGGGAATAGACAGCAATTTTGTCACTTGAACTTTTTTACTGTGGAAACTTGGACATCAG